TTCCTAGCGTGGTGCGTTGCCGGTGTATTATAGGCGAATCTGAATTTCCTCTGGAAAAAGAGTTTATGTTCCGACGCCCCAACGAATCGACTCGATCCTTCCCGTGAATTTCTCAACTCATCACTTAATCGTCTTTAAATTTAGCAGTTTCGGGTGAAAACACGGGTGTCAATCAGCAAAGTGTTTGTAACCTCTTTTCATTGTTTACTCAGTTTGTTGTGCATTGTAGAGAAATTCAGTTACTAACGATGCTGATTTTATTGGGTGAAGTACATTTGTGGACATTTGATGATACTGTTATTATTAAAGACACCGATTTCGGAGCATTTAGGTATATTTTTTGAATATGTAATATTTTACTTATGCACCTTGTAATTATTTTTGTACTGCATTATAATGAGCATTTGATAATTAAGTGTATGTGTTAAGTGATAAGTAAGTGACATAATTGAGATTTCGGCTTTAATAATTAGATACCATGAGAAGCGAATTAATAGTTTGTATGAGGAAGGTAAACGATTGTATTGTCAAAAGCGCAGTATGGTTTTTACACCTCAGAATAAAAAGGGCAACAGGTTGAAGGATGCAATTAAGTATTTAGAGGTAAGGTTTTGTTTTAAACGGTAGAATTTTCAGAAGTTTTTAAAAATATTTTAGAACTTATAGACATTTCACTATTTTTAGGAGCAGCTTAAAGATAACTCGGTATTATATTTACAATGGCATGATCATTGTATCATTCATGCAATGCTTAGTTCAGGCTTATTGATTCAACTGCAAATTAACATTCCTACCGGTGATGTACAGAAAATAATATTTGATAAGTATCTCGTTGGGAAAGTATCCGATCACATATCTGATGGTAAGAAGACTTATATTTTGTTTGTACTCGTAACAAATATAATTGCCAAATAATGTTTTTAGTTATGATTACAAAGAACCATCTGATTTGCACATACAATGACAGTCAAATAACCCTCGTTCACTTTACAAAACCAAGAAGACATGTCTTTGAAAAGATCGGAAGACTGGATCCAAAATTAATAACGGTTGACCTCTCTGGTCCCTGTGGGCGCAGACTAGATAAGAAAATAGAAGTTAATAAAACAGGTGATTTGGTGAGTGTGGATCCTGGCATGAATATAAAACCGGAGTAAAGCCATGTAGTATACTTATGATTTCTATTTTGTTTGCAATGATCTGCGTGCATTCTCTAGATTTTAATTTGGTGGAAATCCACAATGAACGAAGTGTACCCGTGGAGTCCTACGGTGAAAGAACATGATCGTGCTAATGTGCATCTATATCGCCTTACTGGGTAAGAGACAAGCTTGCAGGTTTTCCAAAACATTTTAGTGTATCACCTGTGATGTTATAATTCTGTGAAGATTTTTTATACTCTATGGATCTCATGCTCATTAAGAAAAAGTCATAATATAGGTTACCCTATCTACTACACAAAAGTTCAGTTTTCTACGCATATTTCCATTCATGCTAATAATCTGCTTTTAGCGTAAAAGTGGAGCTGCTGTGTTATTTACGCACTGAATTAGATCCATTGTGCATAATATTTGATACATACCATGATAATGTTCTTCACTCGGTCGAGCAAAAAGTCTCTCGAAAGGTAAATCTCAAAGTCAAAATTAAGGGAGGGCTATGATTGGTAAAATTTAAAGCATGTGTATACCATTTTAAATAAGGAATTAAGTTTTTAAATAACAAATTCGAAATTCGCATTTTTAATTGTACCAATTTGCAGATACCTCTATATCTCATTAAACAAACTGTTACATCCAACAGGGGGAAGTAACGATCGAGTGGCGTACGTATGAAGTATCGCAGCAGGACAAGTTGCAAAGGATTGCAATTATTTCTGTTCCATTGCCAACGCATACAAGCTGTGTTAAATTTTCTCCAAACCATGACATGTTATTGTTATGTTGCATTGATGGCTCGATAACTTTGCACGATCAAACTAAAGGAACCAGTAGCAGCATTAAAACAGCTTTTGTAAGTGTCACTAAGATTTTGAATATCATTTCTCCCATGATATATTTAACAAATTTAGATTTTTCTGCATACATGAATGAAGCAATACTATTAACATTAACTACAAAGGATTTGTAAGATATGCATATCAATATTTTAGATACCCACATTAGCTTCGTGGCATAATGACGGAATGATATTTGCCATTGGTAATGAAAGAGGACAATTCCAGCACTTTGACATCTCCTTGTCGTGTATCAGGAGCCAAATGCTCAGCGAAGATACGACGTCTGCAAACATTTTGGATTTGTCCACATACTTCAGGTATAGGAAGATAATTTAGTTTTTGGAGTTTACATTCAGGAATGATATATCACTTGTATTTAATTAATTTAATGTCTTTAATTGGAATAGAAGTCAACCTGCCTTATTGCGTATGGAATGGAACAAGAAAATTGATGCAGCATCGTACCTGGATCATTACTATAATGGAGATTCCTTGTTTTTACTTCTTTTTGAACGGTGCAATTTTTTTACTGTTATTTTTGCTAATGCTACGATATAGATTACTGAGATTAATTAATTGATTGGATTTTAGGGGTCCTTTAGGAGTTATTAGAATCGTCGAAGGCGAGAATCTATCAGGAGATGTTTTGATACACAAACATTTAAGCCTTTCCCAAGTGGAACGAGCCACTTCCTTACTACTCTTTATGAACTGGGATATCCATCCTCGAGCCTGCATGCACTCATTAAATCAGATTCTTAATTATTTATTCAAGCTGCCGTTAACACCAGAACGAGAAAGTATGTAAAATTATGATCGAAGCAGTAATTGGCAGATTGTTCCTGTACTAGTCTCTGCAATTCTTTAATATTTTTTATTTAGGTCTGATTCAAAACGCTCTAGGCAGTTTTCATGTACCTGTTAGACCAATAAGTCAAACCATCGAAGAGGAGTATGGTGATGAAGTGAGAGATCTTACAAGGAGATTTTTCCACCATCTGTTAAGATACAAGCTTTTTGAGAAGGCTTTTCGACTGGCCATAGACTTGAATGATCACGATCTCTTTATGGATATACATTTCTATGCATTGGTCATGAACGACATGGAAATGGCAACAGCAGCGAAAGAAAAGGCTGAACAGATTTTAAGTAGATCGAACAGCTGCAGCAGTAGTCGTAAGCATCGACCTAACTCACTAACTTCCTAACCTCAGATTTCCACACAATTTACTGATTATCCGTATCCAATAATGAACCATTTTTATTTTCTAATGACAGACTCAACATGCTCCCGACCGTCATGTTCTTTGTGTTCGGGTTCAGCCAGTGACAAAGAGAACGCATCTTATAGTGACGGCAGTGAAACTGAAGACTCTCGCCATGAAGATAGAACAGATTTGTCTTCGAGGCAACCATTCATCAGAAACACGAGCAGCCAGGTTCCCCCTTTACCTGTTCTTCATCCTTCCCTATATAGCAGTAGTGGTCTAATGTCAACTTCCTTCACCGATGCCACTGCATCACTAAATCCAGTCGATAGTAATTTGATGACAACTCCATTCAATGTGCCCACAACTGGTCTTACTGGGACGATATGTGACAGTACGGCGCATAATTTAGTGCCCAGTGATCTTTTGCCAACTACGTCTTTCAGCAAGCTCCCCTATAAGCCAGTGTTAAACTTTGTGCCAATTGCTCCAACGAGTTCTGTCGGCAACTGCCAGCCTTTGAATAGTGTTTCTACTAGTTTGACAAATGTGTCATATGGCAATCTGTCACTCTGTGCCTTGAAGTCAGTGTCTCTTAGTCATCTAAAGTGCAATCATAGTGCAAGTGATTTAATACAATCTTCTCTCACTAGAACGTCTAATGTTTCTGGTGTTGTAACAGGAACATCGTTTCAAAGTAATAGTTTTGTGTCAACTCCATTCAATGATCCTACATACGAATCGGTATCGATGGATGTGCCTCCAAGCTTCTCTTCAGTCACTCCAGAAGGTTCGGAACATAATTTTACGTCAACTTCTTTTACCGGTCCGACATCAAGCTCAATGTCAAATCTGTGCAGTGGTTCATTAGGTGACTCAACTGTGGAAAATAAAAGTGAGATCGGTGCACAACCATCATCAAAGTACTCCAGGTCAACCGATGTGTCATGTGGTGCTTTAGTTAGTGACAGCGATGCATTGATCGAAACTACTGCAGCATTTAATAATGTTGATACTGGTTATACTGTTCTACCTTTCTATAATTCAGGCAGCAACTTGATGTCTACATCGTTTAACGATCCAGACGATAGCACATCGGATCAATATGAAAAAGGTAGCACTTATTCATCCACGCTTGATAATATCTCCGATAGCTCTTCGTTCCAACACCTTGGTAAGGCTCCTCACTCGATGACTACGAAAAAGCATGCTGAAGTGCCACCCCCACCATCTATTACAAACTCTTTTGCAAGTTATACCCACAATTTACCAAAGAAGAATTACACCTTATCTAGAAATAGCACGACAAGAACTGATACGGAAGATCCTACACTGAAGTTTCAAGTTTCTGGGACTGCAAACTCTGTTCCGCAGATTCCACGAAGAGACAATTCTACTACGAAGGTGAATCACGGTCAAATAAAAAATAATTTCCACCCAACGAGGACTTATAGACTGAATTACGATTTGGATTACGTTCCATTTCATGGAAGTTGTGACAACTTGAGTGATCAGTATCTCACTAACAGTCATGCGAAGTCAGGCTCAGTCTCTTCGATGAATCACTTGCATTGTAATTACAACGTGCAATGCAAGCCTTTAGAAATCAAACCTTTTAGGCTAGGAATCTCTCAAAACAGTGGAAGTGCTTTGTCGTGTAAGGAATCAAAGATGTCCTCTAATGTGCCACCGCTACCCATCATAAACCCTTCACTGCCCAACACAAAAGCTTTGCCACATTGTCTCCCTCCAGTTGACACTCCCTCCATGTCGACAGAAAAACCAAAAGTCAAGTTCTCAGACACTGTTACCCACATTTTGGTGCCAGGAATGGTAAGTTTCCTAGTCTTCTATTTTGATTTTTAAAGCTGTCATAGTCATTATTGACTACATAATTTCGTTTTTTTATTTATATTAGGGACAAGCATATCGACCAGTTCCAAAAAGACCTACAACGCACTTACATCCAATGGATCCAAAACGAGAGTTAGCCGAGAGTTTACCTCTATGTTTAGGAAATGAGGATTATCTGAAAGATTTCCAACCATTATCAAGTATGTTAAATTCTACAAGAAATATTCTCTCTGCATAAAAATGTGTTAATTTCACCATCTGTTAATTACAGAGGACATCGATGTGGAAAAAGCAAAGGAACCTGTCAAAACCGAAGAAGCTGGTAAAATTAAGGTGGTCCATTTTGGCCTTTTGTAAGAAACGTTTCATACCATTTTTATTAATGCAAAGGCAGCTACAATTAGTTTAAAAAACTTTGTACATATTTTCCACAAGAGATATTTTCATAAATACATTTTGTAATAAAGATTAAAATGGATGTCGAGCACTTGCAATGCTTGTATTCAACGTGAACAGAAACATACTCTATTCTTCGTGCTCTCATCCGATGTGATAAAGAGGTATTGCAGCGAAGATGAATAACACTACAGATATAAGATACTGATTTATTTTTTTTTATAAGTATCTAATTCAGTTTTTAAGTCAAGTAGTTCTTTGTCTGGTACATATTTTTTCTTTGCCTTTTCAGGATCAAAATATTCTATATTAAATGTAACCCCATGTGGTAATGTTGCTTCCATTATTCTAAGAAGGATCTGGTATAAAGTTGTAGGAACGTTTTCTATTTGAGTGTTCCTTTTGTAAACCTTAAGATTATATTCTGCACAAACTATTGAACTGTGAGGCTTTAACCTTTTCACGATCAATTCTTTTGGTGGTACTGCCCAACTACAAATGATTATATTAATTTAAACATGATTGTAATATACAATTAAAAAAGGATAAATTATATCCACTAGACGTACCTATCAAGAATCTGTAAATTCATATTGTCTGCAAGTTTATGAATAAATCGTTGATAGTTCTCCACCAATGGAAAGTCGTAGCCCTTAATTTGTACATTTAATGTTGGATATACTGGTATCTTAGATTTTCCAACCTACAAAAATGAAAGGTCTTTTTATAAATGCAGGCCAATTAAGTATTGCAGGTTATCAAGAAAAATTATTAAATGCACCTCCAAGTAATCTGGTTCATACAAACTGTAGAACCTAAACAATGTAACTGGTGACATGCGATGCCAGGATGTTCCAATCTGAAACAAAGAATTATTATTCCGACCAGTGCCAGCATTTATAGGATAAGATATTTTTTTATTTTTTCAGCAACACTTACTTTCCTAATACTATTCAAAGCCATTATTTTGAATTAGATCGGTCTTCAGGTTCCTTTACACTCATAAATGATCATTGAATGTGGTTTATAAACTTGTTTATCAGATAGCAGACTATATTACTGATATTACTGATGAACCGGCACGGAGCATGTAGCACGTAGTTTGCTGTAGTTTGCAGCACAATTTAAACTTCGGTTAACTCGAGTCGTGGAACCGGGGTTAAAACTGTATTGACTGTTACTAAGTCTCATAAAGTGCCACAAGTTGGCAGCAGCGACTATCGGGAATTACAAAACATGAAGTATGAGTACTCTCTACTGTTCATATATATTTATAGTATTTGTTGTAATACGTTGTGATACGTTGCCGTTGGCGTACCAAGGCAAACATTGAGTGTAAGGTTAAGTTTATATTTGCCGGCTGCATAATTTAAGAGTAATTTAAGGATTTCGATAGTTTTCGTGACTTTGTATTACTGGATAATGTAAAGGGCTAAATACTTCATTTTGTCCTACTTCTCTGACATTGTTGAGCTAATTAAATTTGTATACAAAGTAGGTATAATGGATTCCGCGCATTTCCTGTTACGTCTCTTTTAGTAAGCATACCAACGATTGGTTTACTTCTAGGTAAAAACCAAAATAAAGAAAGATGTTCAATCAAAGTGCGGCGTTAGGAACTGGCACTACGAACACTGCAAATCCTATGAAAGACTTTGAGGTTGTGTCGCCACCGGACGACTCGGTTTCAAGTTTGGCTTTCAGTCCAGCGTCTATTCCACAGAATTTTCTTGTCGCCGGTTCCTGGGATTGCAATGTACGCTGCTGGGAAGTTGAACAGACAGGAAAAACTGTCCCTAAGTCGATGAATTCGATGGCTGGTCCTATACTTGATGTCTGCTGGCACGACGTATGTTTTATATTTATGCTGTTAATTTGATACTGATATTAAAATCAAGACACTCTTTACTTTGAGGTTCGATTTCATATAAATGAGTGCATTTTTATTATAAAGGATGGAACAAAAGTATTTATGGCCTCGTGTGACAAGATGGTAAAATGTTGGGACTTAGCCTCGAATCAGAGCGTTCAGGTGGCTCAGCACGATGCGCCAGTCAAAACTTGTCATTGGGTTAAAGGCACCAATTATTCTTGCCTTATGACAGGCTCTTGGGACAAAACATTAAAGGTCGGTATTACTTGTTATTAAAGAAATACGACATATATTTTATATTCAAGATGTTAAATATTTGCAGTTTTGGGATACTCGAAGCCCAAATCCTATGATGACCATTAATTTACCTGAGAGATGCTATTGTGCCGATGTTGTACGTATACGTATTTTAAATGAAGGGATGAGTGAGTTAACATAAATATATAACGTGCGCAATAAATTTCAGGACTATCCGATGGCAGTGGTGGGAACAGCCAGTCGAGGCTTAATCGTATACCAACTAGAAGGGACACCTCAGGAATATAAACGCATGGATTCTCCGTTGAAACATCAGCATCGATGCATTGCTATTTTTAGGGATAAGAAAAAAGGTCCCACAGGATATGCCCTCGGAAGTGTTGAAGGGCGGGTAGCCATTCAATATGTGAACCCGGGTAATCCGAAGGATAACTTTACATTCAAATGTCATCGATCAAATGGTGCACCAAATGGATATCAAGATATATATGCAGTACGTTGTTTAAATAATGCATCCATAAAAGTAGTTTAATGGTTGGTTATTGATTTTTGTGTCTTACAGGTAAATGACATAGCATTTCATCCTGTACACGGTACATTAGCAACTGTTGGAAGTGATGGTACTTTTAGTTTTTGGGATAAAGATGCACGCACCAAGCTAAAGCCATCGGAACCCATGGAACAATCAATTACTCGTTGCTGTTTCAATCGCAATGGTCAAATTTTCGCATATTCCGTTTCTTACGATTGGTCAAAGGTGAGAGAGAAATATTTAAGTGATCATTATATTACTTGTTTATATTACACTAATAAAATGTGTATATTTCAGGGTCACGAATACAACAACCCCTTAAAGAAAAATTACATCTTCCTAAGGTCCTGCTACGACGAGCTCAAATCCCGGAGCACTTCATAAATTTCAGTTCCCCACCAACATTGTAATTAGCACAAATACCTATAACATTCAAAACAGCCGAGAAACATTATCTCATTGGAAAATGCAGAATCATATTTTTGACGATGTATTTCTCCAGTGGTGGTGTAGACGTTAAACCGTATTATAGGCTACTGTTTTTTGTAACAATTTCGTAAACGTCATAACATAATTAAAATTACTGTAATTAGGAATAAACTCGCCGTTGGAAATGTAGCTTGTAGAGCTTAGGATAAATAAAACTTTATTTTATATTAATTCCAGATTGTACAACATTTGGAGATGTTCAAGGGTACAATGGATATTTCATTCTGGTGACTGACGTTAATACAGAAGTTAAGGAAACTCGTCATTTAAGGGGCACGACTGGTAGAAGAAATCAATTGTGATAATTCTCAGCACATTTAACTCCTATTAAAGTACTGACAGGCCATCAATGACGGGTACCCACGGTTTACCATTACCAGTGCAAATGGCACATGCTCCAATGGTAGTTCCTCAATTACTCGGTAGATGTCGCGCGTAGTCAACCTCAGAGATCGGACAGCTGGTCGTGTCAAACCTCGGCAGGGGGTTAGAAACCAAAGTTTCGCTGAGAATACCGCATCTTCGCAGCCTCCTGTGGTGAGTAATAAACATTTCGTACCCGCCGTCGACATTTCCTGCATGCGCAGCTCGATAAATACAGCCGAAACCGCGATGTAAGAGACGAAACGTCACAGGCACGCGTTGGCCGCTCATTGCGGATCATCGAGTAGTCAAAATTCTAGAAAGATCGCCCCTTTTCGGCTCATCTCTTCTAAAACCCTTGATTCATGGTTTTGGTCCTCGTCGTTCGTCGTTCGCTCCCGATAAATGTTTAAAAACAAATCTCACCCGGCCGCCATTTTGTCGACTCCCGGGACGAGTCAACGGCGGCCGTTTATTGGTCGACGGGAAGCGCGCCGCCAGCCGCGCCCATTCAAAATTTTTATTCAAATTTTCCCCTCCGTTTTCACTTTTCCATTTTTCGTCTTTCCTACTCAGAGCCTCGGGAATCGCACTCCTTGTTCCTCGTGTTATTCTGGAATTATTAATAAGCCGCTCTTATCTCCCCGTTTCGATAATTCATCTTCGTGAACACGCACCGCGGTGTATAAATATCCCGACTCTGTTCCTGTGGCGGGTATTGTTAAATATTCAGGGAATTATTTATATGTTCCTGCACCGATAACCGGGTGTACACGCAATGGTAGAGTCGCTCTCGGGAGATAAACTCGGATTTTCCAACCTCTTCTTTCTTCCTCCTCTACGTTTGCTGCACTGCTGCAAACATTGTACCGAAACTACATGACGCACGAATTCAAATTCCCAACCGCCCTTGCGTGAACATTCGATAATAATTATCAGGGATTGCAGATAAATGGAGTTAAAAAAAAAATATATCTATAGGTTGAATTGTTTATACGTATTTTTTTTTATTCTTTTTATGCGCATTTTCGCGCGATTAATAAATCGCGAAAAGAGCTGCTCCAGTTGGTTGCCACGTGGGCGAGAATTCTGTCAGGGATCCTACAATTGCGTAAATAATTATTCTCGTTCTCGCACCAGTGTACACCGTCCTATTGGATCGGTACACAGTGCTCAGTGACCGTGATATCTGCAGGGACTTATCGAATCGATCGACTGGCCGTTTCGTTCTTTTTCGCGTTATAAATAATCGCCCGTGCTTCGAATCCTCCCTCGATCCGGACACGCGCCTTTTTATTTAACATTCCTTACTCGCCACGTTTTTCTCGTAACTACTTACTCCAATTTATGTAATTCAAAGAGCGACCCTTTGCGAGTGATCTCAGGAGGTTTTTCTAAAAAAAAAAAAAAATTAAATGCTCACGTCTCTACGGAATTTTTAAAATAAAAAGTGATCCTAATTATTCTTAGGGTTCGGAATTATTTCCCTGGGGAGGTAAAGGTCGGGTTCATGGGGGAGGGGAATGCGACACCTTTTGGGGAGGTTATCCCTGGTATTTCCGAAGTGCGGGGGTGTAGAAAGAAGGATGTAAAAAAAAATGCGTACTCGTCGGGCGGATGTACAGTCACAGAGCGAGGGGGCGTGCGCCTCTCGTCGGAGTTTATTATCGGGCGATAGGCACCTCGTCGAGCTGTGAAAAAGACAAGAACAGTGTCCGTTCGCGGGATCGCGACGTCCAACGTCCGAGGACGGTTCCGTAATCGCGACGATTACGGAAATTTCCCGAAACGAGGGAGAATCTCTGCGAAAAAGCTACTCCGATAACGGTTAACTGTGATAGCGTACGAAGAAATTCGCTTATGTCACCTGGCGGTCTTATTTAATTTTCGGCCATGAGAAAAAGATATCATGAATTCAGAGTCGTAACGAATACGAGGAATCGAAGTACGTAGCCATTTTGGATTTTGGTCTAAGTAAAAAAATTTGTTCCCACTTCGGGGTGATCGGCGAAAAGCGAAAGGAAGAAGCGCCAAGTTTTTTGGAAAAAGGCGCGCAAGGAGGGGTTGGTAAGGCAGGCAGGGCGCCACCGGCGGAGGGGCGGCAGGGACGACCGAATACGCGTGCCTGACAGGGTTGGCGCATGGGGTAGGAGAGAGAGCCGTCCTCGTATCGACCGCAAGACGGAAAACTACCCCTAGAAAGGCGCAGTGCTCGAGAGACTGTCGCCGAGTTCGCGTCTCGCGCCGATTCGTTCGCTCGGTTTTTCTCGTCCGATCGGCCGCGAGGATACCAACTCTTTATCCTTGATCCTCGGAAAGGCACGGCCAGGGAGGGCGGAAGGAGCACCCGCGGAGGACCCCAAGCGCGCAGGTGAGACGATCCATCTCGAATTTTCACCCCTCCGCGCCGTTACGTATTAAATAATCGCCCACGTCGAATAATAATCGATACTCGCACGAGGTGGGGTGATATTTCTCGAGGCCTTCGAGAGAACCTCCGGGTGCCATTTCTATCCTGACTTTTGTCCTTTTACGGGACGCCGGGGAATGTTGGGCGATAATAATCGATTATTTATTCTTCTCCGCATGCGTGATATCGAAACCTTCGAAACGTGGGGAATTCTCTCCTTGTCCAAAATTATTGTACGAGCGCTGTCTCGTCGGAATATCGCTCGGTCCTTGGTTTCCTGCGAAATGGGAAAAGCGCCGGTCATGGGGATCGATTTCGCGATCCCCCCTGCGACGTGTCGACCCCTTTCTAGCTTCGACTGACACCGAATTTTCCTCGCTCCAGATATTCCCAAATAATGAGGCCTGGAAAAAAAGCGTTCGCCTTCCCCCGCGACTTTTCGCCTCGATTGATGTCGGCCGAGAGCTCGTGACGTTTGCTCTTATTAAGGGGACACTTATTCTCATTAAACCCGTTGATAAGGCCAACCCGTGGGGTCACAAGCCGAATCTCATGTCCTCGCTTTTGTCCTGAGGTGTCCTCCGAAATTCGACACTCCCGTCATGATATTCCTGAATTTTTCTAAATATATTCCTTTTTTCTCCACCTCGTCCTAAAGAATGATGAAAAACGACATTTTTCGCGAAAAGACTTTAAGAGGTCAGAAAGTTAACATTTCGTGTTCCTTTTTCTTTCTAATTCCAGTTTGTCCGTTGCAGATCCATTTTTTCGAAGAGAACGAAAAGTAAGCAGGCAAGATGGCGTTCGCAGGGCTGAAGAAGCAGATCAACAAGGCGAATCAGGTGAGCGCGGATTTATTTATTTATATATTTATTTGCTTCGCTTATTTTTCATCCGAGGAAACGTTCCAGGAGTCTTGTTCATTGATACTTGACCGTGGTACACGTTGTACATGTCGATTGATAGGCGAAGCCCTACGACTTAAAATCAGAGTTCTTGACGACTCCACTGCAGTTTTCCTGCCATCCGTTTCAAAATCTATTTTTCTTTTTCGACTCCAAGCGAATCCTGTATTCTGTAGTTTTAGTATTTTTTTCTCAGGGCAGAGGGTGATTCCTTTATAATTGTAAGCGTCGTATGTGTCGCATTTGCTTTTTCTGTAAGGTGATTATCAGTCGTTATCTCTCTTGATAAGATTTTCGCGTGAATTTCGACTGTTAATTCCTGCCGGCAGAGAGTGGGACAGAAAGGAGACGTAAAAAAAGACCGAGCTAGGGACAAGTGGATTTTCTCAAAGTGGAGGGGTCCGGTCGTAAAAACGAGAGCAACAGAACCTAGTTCCCAAGTGGATTTTCCGAGAGTAGAAGTCCCTAGGCCCCGCAGACAGGTCACGTTCTAAATTTTCCTCTAGGAGCTTTTACTGCCTCTAAGGGGATCTGACCTTACGAGAAGACCCTGCTTTAATTTAAGAAGGCTATTCTACCGCCATTTGGCCTGTGAAAGGGTTCCGGGGAGATAATCTCTTGGAAAAGTCAAATTTAAAAAATTAAGAAACCCCAGAAAGCAACGCTCGAGGACCCCGACACTCGGTTGTGATTGTTCGTTCAGAATATTCCGGCACCTCCAGGAAAATCGTCGGGTCTTTTTTTTTTTCATTTCAATAAATCCCTAGGATCCTTATCCGACCTGTACAACCCCATTTTCCTCCTGCATATTGAAAATAGGTACGGCGAATTAAATGAAATCCCATTCTCACGAACTTGTCGCTGCATTCCAAGGGTCTTTCTCCCCAAGGGGGAGATTCGCCGTGAATCGGGGAATAATCGGATCAGCCTTTACGTGCCTTTACGTGACGCTCGATATAGGTCAGATCGACTCGGGAGCGACCTTTACCCGGCATCCAGCTCTGTCTCGTAAGGGAGCGTAACGTTGCATCTGGGTCATTGTTAATATGGGTCAGGGTCGTGCGGGAGCTGCACAACGCGACTCCACCCGAAGGGAGCGTAGAGCGTACTCGCCAAGTTCATAGCGATCATTACGAGCCTACTCCCCCTTTACCTCAGGTCGTCCCCAGATTTTTATATTTTTTCCTCCGACAAGACGACCGCTCGATAGCTCCTCTCTTGCTTTCCATTTTCGAGCGTTAACCGGGTTTCGCCTCGGCGGAAATCGCGTTTTCCATCCCCCTCTTGGAACGAGGTTAACGCTAACCGTATAACGCACAGGGGCATTCTGCGAACAAAACTCCCTAAAATTGATATTTAGTACAGAAGTACATTCATTTTCGGGGACAATTGGTGGGACAATAATGTGGATTTATTTTTACATTTATGATAAATGGGTATTAATTCAGGCTTGAGACGTGGATTATTTTTAAGAGGGTAGTTTCATGGGGGAGGAGACATCCAGATGGTAGAAATCGTTCTTAGGATAGGTCATGGCACTCTGGTGGGATCATAAAGATCAGCCGCGTCTTGTTTGAGAATGGTCCTGGAAGTAGTCGATCGGTGAGGTAGTCGGCTCGTTTTCCCTCGTTCCACCTCGATTTCCTCGCTTTACCGATGCTGGAATAAAGCACGAGAATCACCCGCTACCGTTTCACGGGCCGGTGGCCTTTGCGATATTTCCTGGCCGTTTATTCCGTTTCCGGGGATTTTCTGGCAAGACTTCAAGGCGACCCTGAGGACGCGTCAAGGTGGATCAACGCGTTGCGGATATTGATCCAGGGCTGGCGGAATTGTCTTCCTCGGAATTATCTCTTCCACGCCTGGAAGCATTCTCCTGGACCATTGGATTTTTTCCCCCTTGTCCATTTTCCAGGGGACGTTCCCTGTCGGCCATAAGACGTGGAATCGCAACCCGTCTTTAAGATGTTACGAAAGTGTCATATATATACCAAAAAGTCATCACGTGCCGAAGTGTCAAATTATTTTATCAATATTTTATTATCAATATTTTGACGTTCCTATGTACACGGACCGACTCTTTCGTAACTGTTAAAAAAAAGTGTCCCACTCGAAGCGATCGGAGGTTTCACCACTTTCGAATCACCTTAACGGATTTTCGAGCAGGATTCATGGGACCCCATGGAATTGCCCCTGGACCATTTGGTCGTCTCTCTTCGGGCCTCCCCGAAAGTCTCTCCTCGGCTCGATTGATCCATCCCAGTGGAGAATTTATTCTCCCCGCTCGTCGCCCCCTCGGCCAATTCCAACAGACCCTCCTCTGGCCTCTTACGAGGGATTAGCTGTTTTTATATCATAGCCTATCGAAATCGATCCACCCTGGATTCTCGCAATTCTGATTTACGATATTCCTTTTTCCACGTTCACAAACCCACGGGAAAATTCCGCCCTCCCCACCTGGCTCACCTTGGTGGGATATATTGTTGGAAATGTGATGTTTAAATAGTCATGAAGTGCCTATACTAAAAATTGAATTTTTCATTGCAGTACATGACCGAAAAGATGGGCGGCGCCGAGGGAACGAAGCTAGACGTGGATTTCGTGGACATGGAGAGGGTGAGTACTAAAAAAAAGGGGGAAGAAAAGTGAGGAAAAGCGGGAGAATGCGTCGTTATTTCCCGAGTGTTTGCCGGGTCTGCGGTGGTGGGTTCTTGTTTGGGGCGTTAATTGCACAAGCCGGAGATGCAAAGACCAAGCTCTTTGGTTTCTCTTCGGCAAGCACTCGCTTGAAGAAGGAACTACCGGGAGGCTGTGGGAAAAGAACCGGAAGTGGATGAAAATCAGGGGGCATTGCACGGACGATGGTTGGAGTAGAGTGGTTCTTTTATTTTTATATTCACGAAGCTCGAGGTTTTCTTTCGGATGCAAATTGAAGAGCAATTTTCCCCGTGTTGACCCGTCGATCATTCGGAGAACTTACAGACTTGCAGACTTATAGAGGAGTCCGGAAGTACTCGTCGAGGAATTACTTTGTATGCGTAAATTAATTTCATGGTGCGCTTAAGGTGTTATGAACGTGTCAGGATAATTTTTAAGTGCTCGCGAGTCGTGGGTCAAAGTTTCGGACATTTCGGTAGAATACCCTTAAAAAAAGTCTTGTTCGAGACGACTGATTTGAGAGAGAGTTCATTTCCTTTTTTGGTTCCCCGTTCCAGAAAACGGACGTTACCTGCGAGCTCGTAGAGGAGCTTCAGCTGAAGACGAAGGAGTTTCTGCAACCCAACCCTACGGCGAGAGCCAAGATGGCCGCTGTGAAAGGAATCAGCAAACTCAGCGGCCAAGCCAAAGCTTCCAGTTATCCTCAGCCTGAAGGCGTACTCGGAGACTGCATGCTCACCTATGGCAAGAAACTGGGAGAAGACAGTGTCTTCGGTACGATTTTCAGAGAACGAAGTCTCCCCTATAGCGAGCGAGAAAATTGTAGATGAAATTAATCGAAAGGTCCAAAATAACAGTTATTTTAATTGTTATGGACCAACACAGGTCAAGCCCTCATCGAGATGGGCGACGCCATGAAACAGATGGCCGATGTTAAGTATTCCCTGGACGACAACATCAAGCAGAACTTTTTGGAGCCCCTGCACCATCTGCAGACCAAGGACCTCAAGGAAGTTATGGTGAGAGGAATTGTATGAAGAAAGTTCCAGGGCGGCCTCGATTTTGGTCGGCCTCGCGGCCATCGATTTTGCTCCTTTTCTGTCTCACGTATGTGTATTTAATTTCAGCACCATCGGAAGAAACTTCAGGGTCGGAGGCTGGACTTCGACTGCAAGAGGAGAAAACAGGCGAAAGGTACGTCCACCTTCGACCGAAGACGAATAGATTTTTGCGACTGTGTATGTCATAGCCAGATTGTAAAATCCGGCGTTTTATAAAATGTCGGATTTTACAATCCCTCTCTAGCTGTAACCGCGACCGTGTATACACATGCATCGTGCCGTCAATTGACCTCGACAATCAAGCATGACATCGCTCAAGAATATTCTCTGATTCGGACTTGCATTTGCACGATTTTTCGGCACGTGCACGAAATACGCGGCTTCTTTTCGACGACCTCCAGTGTCCTTCTACTGCGAAACTTTCGTTTATTAGCCGGGAAAAGGTCGGCAAGTCCGCATTTCGGAAGCCCGGCAAGGACGTCGTCCTCCACTCAGGCCGGTACGTTCTATATTAGACGGGATTTCTGCAAGTCTTTCAGACATTTTATTAAACATACTCCTCTCATACACTTCCTCATACAATAGTGCACTGTAAAAAGTACACGTATATCAGTACTTGCTTGCAACCCAGTACAGTATCTCGAAAAAAAGGGATTTTCTTGTATATAAGGATATACGTAGAAATTCCCACGTAATGACCTCGCTTTCATACTCCTCTTGTCGCGTGTGTAATCGCTCACGAAACTCAGTACCTAGAATTAATGCCGTAAATAAGTGCGTGCAGTAAATTACTGTAATTCGAATAACGTGCGTGCTATCTCCTTCACCTCGCTTCATCTACATCGACTGTTTTAACGAGGATATATCGAAGATACTTTTATACATATTAAAAAAAAAAGGTGCGATTAATGTTACCAGATGCTTGGTTAAAAGCTTTCTAATCATCACGAATGAGAACGTCTGATTGACATGACTAGAAAATTTTGATTATGGAAGTCTTGTTGAATATATAATTATTTTAGATTCCTGGACCACTAAATAAGATGAAACAAAAAAGGAATATAAAAATCCGACGAGACCCTTCGACGCGTCCTCGTTAGAGCGTTTTTTTTTTTTTTTTCTAATTCACAGCACTTTCCATGCATGTTTGATGTAAATATTTTCTATGTACGGGGACTATGATGGATGTGCGATTGTGAAACGAATGTCCCCTAAAGTCTCTAGTTTACGGATGCCCGAGCAACCCAAGTAGTGCAATTTTTAATTCTTCTATGGCGCAACCTTTGCGTACAGGTTCTCACGTTTCAGACGAAGAGATTCGTCAGGCCGAGGAGAAGTTCGCGGAGAGTCTGCATCTCGCGCAGATGGGAATGTTCAATCTGCTGGAGAACGACGTAAGTTACCCGATTAGTTAGTTCACCGATGTCGTCTCTCGCTAAAGAAAATGGTAGTTTTCTATTAACTACAACCAAACATTTGTTTCTGCGGACGAAATCAACATTACTGGAGTTGAGAAATTTCTTCGACAAGGAACGTTTCTATGGTAGCGAGTAATTCGTTTCAGCTAGAAAGTAATTTTTTCGCTTAGGGTGGACGTGGGTGGGGTCCCGATTTGCGTGGGAGTAAAATGGAACTCCTACGCTAGCTTAAATTCCCTTTCTCATTCATCTTTTTATTTTGTAGGTGGAACAGGTGGCCCAGCTTGCGACCTTCAGCGAAGCCTTGCTCGAGTACCATCAGCAGTGCATCGAGGTTCTCAGAGTCCTCACCGAGACCCTCCTGGAAAAGTATGCGTCCTGGACGTCACTTTCACATCCCTTTAATGTACTCGAATTGTCTGACGAATTGCTTCTTCTTATTCTTTCAGGAAAGACGAGGCGGCAAACCGACCCAAGATGGAATTCGTGCCGAAGACGTTGGCCGATCTGCACGTCGAAGGGATCGCCCCAGCGGACGCCATGAACGGTGGGAACTTCTCTCTTCACGGTAAAAAACACACAATTCACGGAAAGTACCGATTGCGACACGGTCTGTCGGTTGATTGGCTGCAACTATGTTTGTTCCTATAGTCTCTTGCCATGGACTTTACACATACCCTGCGTGCTGTCGCATCTCTGCCCACTTTTGCATTATCGTGTACCTTCCGTTTCTCTCGACCCTGCAATAATTCAAGGAAGTGTCGACTGCTCCTCCACCCGTGTATCGTACCGTGTTTCTACAAAATTAACAGTTAAATAACAATGTAAAGAAAAATGTGAGACCCAAAATGCACTACCACTTTGATACTACATTCACGTCATCTTGAGGTGCTATGAAAGGGTCATCCTGTATATATAAAAATATGAAAATTTTTATAAAACTTTTTGGATAGAATGACCCTTTCGTTTCACCACCCTAGACACAGTTCCAGTCTGGTCGTTGTATAATTGTCGCATACTTGAATGTCTGTCCTTCTGACACGCCGCAGGGGCAAGTCGAGCCGGGTCTCCGGTCCACGCGGACGGAAAGCGCTCGCAACTCGAACTGTTTCCGGCCGCAAACCCGCCGCAATCTACCAATGGTAAATTCTGCATGGGGCTGCTTGTACTTTACGATACATCATGGGAAGTCATGAAAGACCAAGCGAAACTCGAGAAAGGAATATGTCTCTATGTTTCCCTCGGTCTTTCCTCGCCTCGCTTTCATCCTTTTCAGCAGAGTTCTAGAATAACTGTTCTTTTAGACCTCTGCTACTCATCCGTTCTTTCGCTGTTTCGCTGAAACGATTTGGTTCCCCTCAATTCGGAGGAAAGTTTCACGATTGACCTCTTGGAAGCCACTTTCATGTCATCTTAAGGGATTGGAGTAGTTCTTTCGTAGAGCATTATTTTTTATTTAGGTGAATACATCGAGGTTGACTTGAATTTATGGTCGCAGTCCTTGTAATGAGACGCAGGAAGTTTCTGGCAAAGTCTGCGATCGACATGCTGAGGACACCTCTGACTTTGTCAATTTTTCAGCATCTCCCTTGCCGTCTCCCAGCAAATCGCCAGCAAGAACGCCGATGTCGAGGCAACCCTGTTGCACAGCTCTCTACGATTTCGAGCCGGAGAATCCAGGGGAACTCGGATTCAAGGTAGTCAACCGTCACTATTACTATCGCTGAAACGATGCAACTGCACTAAGAATGAAAAATTCATTTCGAATTCAAATAAGATACTTCCCTTAAGCAACCATTTTTATGCTTCCAGGAGAACGATACGATCACGCTGATTCAGAAGATCGACGAAAACTGGTACGAGGGGAGTCTGAACGGACGCACGGGTTACTTCCCCGTAACCTACGTGCAGGTGGTGGTACCACTGCCATAAAACGGCACTACGTACCCTGTCGCCAAAGACACCCTGCATTCGTTCATTCGTGTCTGTCACCAAACAAACCTATAATCTTACAATTAGCCTAAAGCCCACTACACACCTACTTACGTTGGTCGTTTTAAGCTTCCCAAGGCGAACCCCCCGAGTTACGGTATCTCGAATAGCCCCTATACGCATGTTAATGTACATAAATACTGTTATATAGTGTCTTTTACAGGAATAAGGATCTCCGTGCCGGTTTGTCACCCGTGTACACGTACATACACACAAGTTACAGAACAGACACACTGAACACGTCACACATGTTGCACCGCGACGTAACCTCGCGATCGACGGCGTACCCTTCTCATCTTACTCCCATACATTGAGGGAAAAAAAAAAGTTGATTGTCTCAAAGAAATATGCATCGCAATAACAAAATCCTGCGATGAAATACATCCAAAGGAATGTCAGACTGGTACACAAATTTGATTCAGTCAACTGTTCTTTTTTTCTCAGTGTACAAGGTGCATCCGCATTATTCGCATCTTCGTCTTCGGCTTTTACGTCATTTCTGTCATTTGCATACTTTTATTATTTACCTACCACGCGTCTCTCGAATTTCCGGATCTTCATTAGCTGGACGCCTGGAACGCGAAGTATTAAGAGCATACTCAAGTTTCTTTTATCTTCATTCTTTTAGTCGATTTTAATTGCATCGCCATGGGTCATATCGTCCTCGCTTCGTCAGTTTGCGCGATAGGCGCGGTTATTGGCACTGCGAGGACTTTTTTTATTAACAATGAGGTCCATCTCGCAATTGCATCCGCATTAGTCCGCGCAGCGCAAAATCGATACTATAATGAATACATATCTGCAGTTCGCTCATTCTCGAATGGCAATCGATTCACGGTTCATCTTTGTCCCTTTTCTTTTTTTTACCGACGAAGTGATCTAGTTAGGAGTTAGGATATTTAGTTCTAACCACCGAACGGCGACTCGCATCTCCAAGTCGTGTTACCGACAATTGCGTTCTAGTTATACATAAATATTGAGTTCAGTCACGCGCGATCGAACTCGAACCACTCTTAGTGAGAGCGATATATTAATTATATGCCGTGTGGCGTTATATTTTTGCCATTATCTCCGTTACTTCCAAGAATTATGCAAATCACCTCGTATACTTCGTCGTTGCATTATTAGTTCAATTCGGCAAAGGCAAGGCAACGCTCTCCTCGAAAAGCCGCCATATCCGTGTGATCCGTGCTATATGTGATTTATATTTGTTGCGGTCAACTGATTTTTTTTCTCAATGAAGCCTCGCCTTTGTCGGACCGATCTTCTGGTTTCTTTACATTAAAGAGAGCGAATGTAACATTATGAATTGATTAGCTACACGCCTCGACGTACGTCTAAGGGTTTCATCCGCCAGAACAATGAAAGTAATCGAGGAACTCGTTTATCCGTTGCCTCGTGGTCTAGGTACTCCTCAAGGACGATATTCGCTAAGCATGATGTATTGCGTTAGAGAGCCTTGTGTTCAGCTCCAGGCGTGGTGAAAAGGCGTTTTTAATTTCACCTGAGATGTATACAAAAATTGATTTTTCGCCACGTTTGGATGGACATTGAAGATGACCCTCGTCGGAGGCCACTTGGAAGTCGAGAGAGTCCACCGGAGTCAGTTTCGAGACGAGTAATCGGACGTTCCGAAAAGCGCATACCTCCGATTAATTTGAAACTTCGTATACTTACATATTTTGAATACGATGGTGTGCGCTTTTTGGAACTTTATCCGAACAATCGAGTCCTGTCGAGAGGGGAGATTATATCGTTGCTAACGCTATCATTGCTGTTAATACACTACCGTTATATTACTGTATAACTTCTACTGTAACGCTAACACTACGGATTATTACCGTCATCACCGTTCTACTATCCTTCGACGGGAAGATGGAAGGAGAGAGAAAATGGAGTCACGTGGTCCCGCGACATTCCGATAGCCTGGACTAGGAAATTAGTGGAGTGTTTACAGCCTGTAAACCTTTTTTTCATCTCGAGGTGTTATATCGATGTCGTGCAATACAGAGGCTTAGCGTCGCAATAAGTCCCGGAAGACTTGGCCGCTGGATCAGCGTTTCTCAAAATGGCCGCCATGCGCGCCGACCATCGGCCGGGTTTTGTGATTGGGCAAGATAATTCCGTAATTCCAAGAGATCTGTCCTTCTTGGCTATACTTTTCACACTTTCGTGAAAGAGGTACACAAGGGTTAATATCTCGACACCTGCGGAACCGGCGTTTGCTCGATATTTAGTCAATTATAGCGTGAGTATGTCGAGGACGAGTTTAGACACGGTTAAAGACGCGTTCGTAGAAAGAGGATCAGGAAAGCGCGACTTTTCGAAACAAACATAGCCGCCGTGGCTGAACGATGAATTATTTGTGGATCATGTCGAGCGACTTTTTTATTGCGATTGTTGGTCACACTTTGGCGTCTTTATATCCTCGACCTCTCGTGAACGCGAAACGTAGCAATAAAATATGAACATGAGAGTTTACTCGAATAAAAGGGAATTTCCCTTCGCTCTTAGGCTTGTGATGTATATTCCGAATACTCTGGATAGTCTTTTAATTTAGTGAACTAATATATCTCGTCCGAAAGTTATTGAATATACAATAGATTAAAAATGGTACAGTTCCGAATTTTCGATTATTGACGTTACCGAGAGCGAAGGGGCTTTCCCATAACAAGGTAATAACAAACGAGCACACTTTTTGAGAAACGCTGTTACGGTCCAGGGAAATAGTGGAGAAACGTGTTGTTCATTAAAGAATCGCGTACGATAGGTTTGCCGAGGACTGAAGCAATTCGGGGATACGAAAAAGATCGAAGGTCGCATTAACTGAAATTAACGGTGAGCCCTAAAATCGGTATTTTATTCTATAAATGTTGGCTATTGTTAAATGTTGAATATTGTTCCGCGGAGGGCGGTGCCGCTCGGGTGGAGCAAGGGTTAAAAAGGAGGATATTATTTTTGAGATAATTTATTCGTCACCGTCAAGTTATGACTGAATTTCAAAAGAGCCTTGGAAACAATGTCCATTGTTAATCGGCTTCGATTAGACGACGAACAATTTCATTTGGCGTTTTAGGAAAACATAAGACACTAATAGCCTCCATTAATTGTGATTTCCGTTACGAGTGGAAAGCTTTACAACGATCGAAGTCACGATAGACGTTAATAACAAGTAGAAAGATTAATTGTTTAATAGTGCGTGATAAAGGTGTTAGCTGTAAAATTTCTACATTTAGCTAGTTGTGATATCGAGTGCGAGGAGATTTAAAGCGTGTATTTTGTATGTGTTTATTACGTGGTTAGAGAAGAATTCTGTGGTTTACTTACACATTAGCATCATGTTGATGGTCGACTTTAAACATTTCGGTCATGCCGAGGATATAAATGATGAAAAGCTCGGCGAAAACGAATATCTGCGGCGTAAATATGAACAAAAGCCTAAAATCTTTTTACGTTCGGGGTGAAAATAAATTCAAAGAGGGGTCGAGTAATTTTTATACGAGCCCCATGTTTAGGGTGGTTTGAAAGTATTTATTTCTTGTAGGAAGGGTGGCGATAGTTTTAAATTAGGTCAACTAGTCCATGGCCATGTCTTATGTTTTTCTATAAGCCTGTCCTATGCTTTTTTAGGACGATTCGGAAGCTCCTCGGGCTTCGTCCGAGCCGCAAAGCTTTCCGTCCTTGATCGTACTCTAACTATTCGGGGATCGAATTCACGTCAGCTAATTCGTATTCTAACTATTCGGGGGTCGATTTTTCGCGAGTTGACTCGACCTCTAGTAAGGAAAAAAAATCACTGAGCATCCGTGGTCGGGAAGGCAAACTTGCCGTGAAATTCGAAGGTACATCTCGGGTGGACCTTGGCTGGAAATTAAGGTGTTATGAAAGAAAAATTTTTTTTGCTTCCTGCCCGGGATAAGTAACAAATTTTTCTTCGAAAAATATGAAAGTTTGCAAGTTTCGAGATCTTCGTTAGGACCTCCATAATCATGGGTTAAAGTTTGAAATTCGGTGCACCCAGTTTTGAGAAAAGTTTTACAAATATTTTGACGTGTTGGTATGTATATAGCACTTTCATAACACCTTAAATCTCTGACCAAGCCTGAAGACATTTCCGGATCCGGAAAATTTGGAGAAAATTTGTACTCGTCTAGGATCTCCTCGGGTCGAGGACGGAAAATGTCTTATGGCTTGAGAAAGTAGAGGGTAAAAAGAAAATCGCTCGTAAGACCGGACTACCGGCCGAAGTGACACTTTTGTCTGTGACTTATTTCTCCCTGTCTATCCCCAAGTGGAGTAGTACGACAAGACGACCAGAGGATGCATCGCAGTGATACTTTCAGACAATACATTACGATTAATTACACTTGTATCGGTAAATTAATCTACTATTATTAATTATCGAGCTCCGATTAAAGATGAATATACGATATACGATATTTCGGTCGATGCTAAGCGACTAATTATTATGAACAATTAAGGAAAATAAAGTGTGCTCTATGTCAATAATTGGGGGGATGATTACGTGCTTTACCTAGTCGACGAAGAATCTAGTAGATACTTCTTATGTACCCACGAGGGTCAAGGTTTCGGACAGTTCGGTCCAATACCCTTAAAAAAAAAGTGTCTTATTCCGACATATTTATGGGGGGTTTCACTTCCCCTTAATGAATCGCGTTAGGTGTGACTCCATTGTCGTGACGTCGATTGGCAGCGATCGACTCGAGGTGGTGGCTCGATCATTTGCAGAGTTAACCAACCCTGCGACATGATTTACAGGGGCAGAGATGTATACATAATGCATGCTTTCTTTCCCGCGGACGTAATTGTATGCGATATTACCCCTGGGAGTCGGCATCCACGCCACCGCGGTAACAAGGCATACCATCATCTCCGGATAATCCCACAAAGGGCTTACAAGTGATAGGAGCTTCCTTCCCGAGACTTCCTCTGTCTTCTCAACATTTTTTCATTTTTTTTTCTCACATTTTTGCACATTCTTTCCTTCCGACTTTTACACGTATTTCGCGTCCTTTCTTAATTTCTCGATAGGGTACTTTGGGGTAGTGGCTTTTTAATCATTTTTCGATGGGGCACTTTAGCTTATACGCGGGGTATTCTTTACGACCGGAGGGAAATAATATCTAACAGGAGGCAAAGAATTCAGTGATTTCTTTGTAGGAGGGCAATTCAAGGTGGATCGCTTTCGAGACCTTTTATACGTACCGAGCGAGTACACTTACTGAAAATATCGTCTTTTGATGCCCAATTACCGCGGCATCGCTCCTTTATGCCCGCATGACGTTTCCCCAGACGATAATTCAAGAGAACGAGGAAACGGCGGCCGGGGCTCTGATTTAATGCTGGCATAATATAACAATGGTTATTGCTCCTTGACAATTGGTTTTTCCTCTCGGCAGTCTCCACCCTCCGACGGGGAATAAATTTAATTCGTTCCCATCGACCGCCACCTTAATTGGAAAATCAGTTCAAGCGACCTTCTCGAGTTATATTTCTGATATTACGGTGATACGAAAGTGTTATTCCGTGCACATCAAAACGTCAAAATGTTTCGTACATATTTGGACTTTTTGATATCTACGTATATATGACACTTTCATAACACTTTAAAATCAATGATCCGCTGAACGAATGATTCCTCGGTCTTAATTTCTGATACATTTAGGTTCATTCGATGTTTGTTCAATTTTTTACGGGAAAGTGGAAAATGGACTCGTCCTTTCTTGCCCCTAAGCGGAAAAGATGGCGGAAGGAGGGAACGCCGGGGCTTTCGGAAGCTTTTCGTTTGTGACGCGGAGAAAATTACAGCGGCACCCGCTGGGATCGCCTTTTCTTGGAAAGAGGGCTGTTTTTATTAACACACGGGGAAAGGGAGACCCGGGACTTTCGAGTAAACAGGAAAATACTGAAAGGGGAGCGTAAGCCGCTTACCTCCTGCAATTAAAATGCTTCTTTAAATACCCACTCGGTTCTCCCCCTTGCAACTGCGATTCGTTGATCGTTAACCGCGGCGTATCGTCTAGGACGGATTATTCTTCATTCGTTCGTGCATTTATTTATTTAATAGCGTTCTTTTTGAAAAATTCCCAGGCGAACTTGGGAAGTAGTTTCCTCTGAATAATATCTCTGGATGCGGATTGGCGCTCGGGTATGCGCGGATCTAGAACGGTTCCGAGCCCAGACGTGACACATTTACGTAAACCGGGAAGAGTGCCACTGATTCGTCCCCGGGGACAGAGGTCGTCTCCGTTCACCGTGCCAATTTCTCGGCACATTAGTCGCAGACGGTGCTCATCCTTTCGGGTCGGGCTTCCGGCGTTCTCGAAAGAAACGTCCCTTTATTTTATTATCCGTCCTGGATACGTTCCCGTTCCCGCACATCGCCATTAAGGTAATATAAAAGTGGCCCCTGACGGGTCAATCGTTCGTGACACGTTTCTCCAAACTGGAGGCAGGACCTTCCTTATAACCTTTATATTTACGTTGTAAAGTTTGAAGCGACTCGGTACACCCCGTTCGGGCATAAGTTTCGTAAACGAGACTTCCTTTTAAGACTGCGGAATCGTAATGCGTTTTCGAAAATTCGCGGCGCTCGAAGCGTGACGCTTTTAACTCTATGGGGAATTTCTATGTATACATTTTCTCGCATACGTGTAGTTGCATTTTTTTTTTTTCTTGAAATTTCGCGAAGAGTAGATACCCGGACGCGTTTGCGCTCAGCGCACGTGTGATCGGAATCGGAAATTCTGCTGACTATCGCCCTGGGACCACAGGCCCGTCTCCGTTAAGGGTTTTGTTCACCGAGGCGTGGGTATATACGTATGGGGGTGCGTGCCATGGTGCACCGAGGGCTCCCCAAGGATCCACCGGCCGAGATTACCGCCCCTCGAGCGAAATATCGGACCGGGTAATTGAAAAAGATTTGTTTCTCTCCTAGACGGGGCACGACGCTTTACCCAAAGGAACGTACCCCGAAAAGTTGGAAAGCCTAGAAAAGGTAAACCGATTATTTTTCTACGAAATAGCAATTAAGAATCTGATATATAACACTCGGGGTAAAAACGTGAGATTTTTTTTTTCTAAATAGAAATCGCGTTCACTTTCCTCGTACTCCCAATTTCGAGACAGGTTCTAAATTAGTTTCTTCCGAAATTTGAGGAAAAGTAGGAAAGGGCAAGTGGAGGTGATCGAGGGAGTGATTACGTTCATGTGGGATAACGCTTCTTTATTGTGATATAGCGGCTACATGGTAATTCTGTACTAGGGTAATCGATTGCGCGATAATACTCCAGCCTAAATCGACATGCAAGTCGGAGCTTCCGGGTCTACGGATCTAAATTTATTAATTATCAATTATCTTTGACTTTCGGCGTATATTTAAAAAGCGGACGTCGATCGGTCACCCCTTGATAATCGCACACGGAAAAAAGAGAATTGTGGTTTTCCTAACTATTCTTTTTTTCTTCCCCGTGCAAGAAAGTGTTGACTAGAGTTCGCGTCGGCTTAATCGCTATGTGACCCTTCCGACATTTCGGATCGCGATTTTCTCTATTGTCCCCTAAGACCGATCGTTCTAAAATGTCAAACTCAGCGTCGATCGGCTATGCGACGCAAGCGACGTCCATAGCGACGATAAGACGATAAGACGATAATTCGATTCGAGTCAGAATGATCGGAGGTTTATTCAGGGCTTGCTTCGCCTAATTACGCGTAATTACGGGGGATTAATTTGTCGGTGCCGAAGGATTATTCAACGGCCCGTAGAAGATCCCACGTGGACGGCATGCGGTACAGTCGGGGGCTGCCCTCTCGGAATCGCCACCTGGAATCAATCGTAGCGGATTACCTGACATTGAGGTGATACGAAAGAGTCAGCCTATATACATCCGAGGGGTCGTATCGTTCGCGAAAGTATTCCCCGAATTGAGTGTATCGATTCGTGTGAAATTTCATCCGAAATCCGTCACCACTTGAGTATTCAAAATAGCGTTTCCGCGAAAAAGGGTACATATGAATATCATTTTATTGACGTCGATTAAGTTTCTCGGTTACTCCGTTTCTCCTTTCGTATCACCTTAACAGGTGAACCCTCGTAAGACTTCCCCAAGGGACTGTACGTAACTCAAACGGCGCCGCGCTCGCATTCACCGCGAAGGTACAGCACCTATCTCGTTATTTCCGGCTTATGTCGGTACTGAATGGTCCCACCACCAATCCTCCGACCGATATCGATCTCCCATCTCGCTCTTCCTCTTCCTCTTTCCCTCTCTCGACCGTCAGACGTCGCGAATACAGGTAGGGTCGGTGTTTATACGCGTTTTCGCGACGCGACTCCAAATCGGCGGTTGAATAGCGGCAAAGTACCCTCTAGACCGCACTAAAAATAAATTCCAGTTAAAGGTACCAGAATTCTGGTTCAGCGTATCGGATATTTCTAATAAAGTACTCCCCGGTTGAGGTAGCGATATGTACCGGTAAACTTAAGGTGACACGAAAGTGCCGTCACAGAGGTATCGTTTATGAAACTTCTCCGAACTGGGTGTACCGAATTGTTTCATACCGTATAACGTGAATGTGGAGGCTTCAAAAAAGGCCCTGGCCCTTGTGAAATTTCTCTTTTAATTTTGTTATTGATGTTTTCAACATTTTTTATATAAAATGAAATTTTAATTCGTAAGAAAGTTTCATGAACGATTCAGCTTTCGGATGCCACTTTCGCATCCTCTTAAGCCTCGGTCGGTACGAGCGGCTGTACATGCGCAGCTGAAATCCCGCCCCCTGCGAATGCGCCACCCACCCGCCACCACCAACCGCTCACCCCCGGGCGAGTTATTACCGACAGAGCAGGGGCGCGAAGAGGGCGCGAAGAGGGCGAGAAGAGGAATCCCCACCCCGCACCTGCAGTTAACACTCCAGTCTCGACTAATTACTCTAATTAATTGACGCGCCGCGGACGAATCTCGGATTAGCGACGTCTAAGTAGACGGTTGCTTCGGAAACGCGCAAGCGAAATTTCTAGCGAATATTCCTAGAGGGGAGATTTCACGGGTATTGTTCTTATCTTTGTGCTGACTTTTTATAATGTCAGAATCGAGAAATTGGACAATCAGGGGAAATGAGATTTACCCTGAGAAAAAAAAAAATTTATTGAACCGAAGAGATATTTTTTTGAACGGTATCAAAGAAATATTTGGTTAATTCAAAGAATTGGTATTTGACTCAAATACTCAAGTAAATGGTAACTACTTTTGCAAGTACTGGGCGTACCTTTCAGCAGGTTTAGGTGTCGATAAAAAGCTCCACCGTGCCAGGTTTCCGGACTTCTTGCAGGCGGAAGTTCCGGTTTGACGTCGCGCAAGGCCGCAGCCTCTTCCGCGATCTTTTCAGCCTCTCGTTCCTACGGAAATGAAAGAGAAAAATCGACATTGAGACCCGCAGGAAAAAAAATTTTTTTCGTTTAACCCAATCGACCGATGGACTGTATTTGGTTCGTTTCAGAAATCGTTTCGATCTCTAATGTATTTCGGAAGGAAGTCGGCCCTCGTTCGACCGGACACGGTGCTTTATTTAATGCGTCCTCGATAGCGATCGCGAAATTACTTAAATTAATGCGCCGCACGGTGGAAGTCAATTAGGATTATTTATTCAAGAGCTCCGAATGTCGATTCTCCGCAATCGACCTGCGGAAGTGCCCCAATTTTGTCGGTTTTCACGTTTACTTGAACCTTCCTAAAAAAGGAACGCTTTCCTCGGGATTTAATCGTCTCTTAATTTCTCTCGCGTCATCTTGCGATTAAAATCCACTTTTATCTCATCCATTCTCCCTCGAGAGGAATTAATCAACGGATACGTAATCGTCCCCTAATTTCCTGAATTTTTACCGTATCCACCCAGGCTAGAGGAAGGCGATAAAAATTATTAAAAATAAAGGGATTAAAAATTGACGAAGGAGCAATTGTCGCGAAAAGAAATCACCGTATCTGCGTTTTGTTGAAGTCGCCGTGACTTGCGTGCAGATAAAAAAGTGCAGGCGAGGCCGGACACGCGATTCTGCATTTTTTAGAGGCAACAGCTCCGGTTGCGATTTTTCCCCGATAAATGGAGCCCTTCTGGCTCGGTGCCCGAGGACGAGATTCAATATATATATATAGAATGACCCTTTCGTAACACCTTAACCGGATATTTATTACATAGGATATTCTTTCTCCATCTCTTTGAGTGGAACCTCATTTCGCAGACTAGATAAGAGCCGCGATGCCGGAGAATCGCGAGATGCACGTCGAGCGATAAGAGACTCGAAACGTCGGTTAAAACCGATTGTAACGATCGCATCGATGTGGGGAATTAAATATTCAATGTACGACAGCGGTTTCGACGTCACGTAACGCGGAAAATCGACGATTACATTTGTCCTCCCGAAGTCGCCCCCCATAGACACGCGAGCTCTAATGTTCTCAATGGAGAGCCTTTACCTCCGATAATTGGAATTCGTAATGAACGCTTTTTTACATGGCCTCATTTTTTCCCTCATATGTATTGTTATGGACAACACTTGGGAAAAAAAAATTATTATATCGCGAAAGGCGATAAATCTGTGTTGAAAAAAATGGAGATGGTTTTGGGAGACATATGGTGTGGTTCGAGGATCCACCGTCTCGAATCGATTAACTCGAGTCGAATCGAACCCTTATCGCTTCAGAGACGGTCGTGTATGTTGGGGTTACATGGTGTTATGGGGAGCATATGTTAACCAACCCTAAAAGTCGGCCTCGGGAAGGGTTGGCTACCACCTGCCAGGCTTGAAGAGTTTTTTTTCGAAAATTTGCATCCCTTTTCGAAATTCTTGTACCACAGGTACAAGATTTCTTCTCGATTGCTTTTTGCGTTTTATCAATGCCTTGTTCTCGCTTTGTTTTAAATGATAGAATCCAAGGATCCCTGAACACAAAGGGGAATTTTTTTCGCTTATGTCGATGCAACGAATTTGCACAAAAAAAAGTTTCATGGGGGGTCTTGGCGATCAATCCACCCCCTAGACCCCACCTTATCGAATCGCTCAACAATGGACGCCCAGGGGTTGCGTCCTCGACACACAAAATATAATTACTCGAAATCCCAAACGGCATTAAACTTTTATCTCAAACATCGGTCCCCCCGACGAGTCACGAGTCATTACCGAAGGATGATAATTAATGTTTACCGGCCTTATGCCTCGGTACTGTCCCTACGGTATGTACGTACCGTCTGCCGAATTATGTACGCACTTATGCGTTTGCTCGTCCAACCCTTTCCTCGCTCATCGTTCGACCGACAAGACGCGATAACGCATTAAATCCCGTCCAATTATCCAAATTAGATGACAGTTAAAAAAATGCATTTTTTATATGCAGAGAGGAAGATGACGTCGACGATGAGAACGTCACGACGGGGTTATCGTTAATCGGTAAGCGCAGCTGCAGCTGCAATCCCAGAGGCTGTCTCCGTAATTCCTTAAGGCCGAGATCGATAGGAGCTAAGTACGTGGTGCATTCGAGGCATGTAGGCAGTTATCCTTACACGAGTGTCATTATTGCGGGGGCGGGACGTGAGGCACGTACCGTGCAGATGGTACCGTCGCGGCATTGAATCACCGCCAGATTACCGCGGACTCTCCGCTTGCGGATGAAACCCGCGTCCTCCCATTTGTAACTCCGCTCATCCGGCAAAGTAGGAATCCGAGTTCTCTTTCCTCGACCCGGGTCGGATCTCGAGGATAACGCGAGATGATTCGAGATTTTAATCCCCACGACGATGACCACTTTTTTTCATATCCATCGCGATTAAAATTACCAATTTACGCGACTCGAACTTAGTTAACCACGAACGGACAAAATGCGTCATCCAATTGAAGTGGAAGAGAAAATAGGGCAGATCGGAATACGACGTAACGGCGATTCGAATAAAAATTGCAACTGTACCGGAACGGCGACGCGGCTCGCGATCTATCTTGCAATATGACTCGCAATCAAAATCGGGCAAACTCGATCCGCGATGTAAACCGCGATGTAAACCGCGACGGGAACCACAATCGATTCGGGGCAGATCTCCGTGTAACGAAACGGCGACCTGGGCAGAAACACCGATCGCGACCGGAACCGCAACGGGGACCGGCGCGGTCGCTCCGCAGCGCCCATTCCGCGTTACGGCCGGCTCAATTGTTCCAGCCCCGTTGATCCAATAAAGGATTACGGCGAAACAGTTGTAGCGAGCGGGACGATGGATTTTACGTAAACGACCGACCGGCTCCCGCTTCCGACCGAATACGTCCCTCTTCCATCTTGAATTACGGTTCCCGCTCGGCGACCCGATGATAACGCAGGAAATATGCAGTCGACTGCACCGAATGAAAAACTCCCTCATTTTTTTTTTTGCGGTAACAGAATGGTCTTTCCTCCAGCAATGTCGCGATGCGATAGGGCAAAGTAAATACGACCTCGCGATGCCATTTTTCATAGACGAGAGCGACGACGTACTTCGGTTTATTTCACGTTATCTTTCCTTATCGTTCCGGTCATAAAATTTACATTTGCACCAAAACCTTTTCCACGATTAATCCGGGTCGCGATAATTCGCCGCGTGCCAAAGAATACACACGTTGGAAAATATTTATATATATATATTTTTTTTTGTAGAACATAGGTGTATATGTGCAGAAAGGAGTATAGTCGAAGGGTGGTCGGGAAAGGGCACTTTTTGAAGAAAATTCGCGATGCATGCGAGCCGAAATTGAGATTATTCGAGATCGAGCGAACAAGGGGGCCCACCCACTCTTGCGTAAAGTTAATACGCAATCGAGTTAGTTCCATCGCTTCCAGCTCGCTGATTTAACCGGCAGCAGTCGATTATGTCGGGAATTGATTATACTCCAGATATCTATAATACGTCGGATTGCCGGCCGATGGTTTAATCTTATGTCTTCCGGCCCCACTCTGAGAAAATTAGTGGTATACATAACCACACGCCAATAAACATAAATTAGGGGAATTCCTGAAATTAGTGGAAATGGAATGGCAGGTGTAAAAAATAAACGTTTGCCCCTCCACGGTTTATATTTAATAAATGAAGCGCCTTACATTAGGCACGTTTCACATTTATGAAAAGATATCGTCGTTTGTCCCTTCATCATCCGCGCATCGTTATTCGGTAAAAATCGTATTTTCCTCTTAACGTTTTATGCCATCTCGGGCGTCCATTTTCCGCAGTACCCGCGGGGGCATTTGCTATTTTTAATCCCCGGGGATTTGCATCGGGCTGCGGGCGTAATTCTGCAAAATGTAATCAATAATTCACGTATGGAGTCGAAAAACGATCCTCCGTCGCAGTTAGAAGTGAGAGGATTACTCTCGTTATTTCGTTAAAAGTGGCCTCTAGCCGGAGAGAAAAATGGATTTTTAAGGTGAAACGAAATCCCCCTCGAATCGGTCGATTCGAATAAGACTTTTTTTAAGGACATTGAACGTCGATTAAATTTCTCGACGCGTTTTACTTCACCTTAAGCCAGCTAGCTATTATGCGATTTTTATGCATCGGGCAATTTCTAAACTCTCCTTATTCATCCGCGTTCGTCGCTTCGCAACGTTTTCCCGTTAACGGAGCAAAATGGGAATCCACGATGCCGTCCTTTCGAGCGACTCGTTACCTGGCCGTATTTCGCGGCTCGCAAAGTCGCACTTTTACGGGCTGAATGTTCGCCCAAGTTTCCGGCCATTATGTGTCCGATGCTTGCATTTAATGGCTCGATTCGAGCTGTGAATGCGGCACCGACGCTTAGGTTAAACAGATCGGAGAAGCGAAAGAGGTGCCTCGTCTCTTTTCCTCCCCTTTCGCGACCGAATCTCGTTAATGGCGCGAAATCCAAAGTAATTTGTCTTTTGATTGAGAGGTTTCGCTTCACATTAAAGAGCCGCGTGTAAAATGAACTCGTAGGAAATAAATCGAGGGAAAGGGTGTAGAACGTTTTCGGACGAATTCAGACATGGCTGGATCCCGGCGTGTCCGATGCAGTCCGAAGTGGTTTCGGACGGTACCGTCACGGCACCGTCACGGCAACGTCACGGCAACGGGACGAGAAGAGAGCAGAGCGGACGAAACCACGAGAGTTGGATTGGATTTGAGGATCGTGGGGCGGAGCCAGTCGGTCCAACGATTATAATCGAATCAACGGTCACCGCCCTCGGTTCCGAGTGGAGCCTCCATTATTCGCATCCGCCATCCGCCGGATAGTCGGATGGAAGCAGTCTCGTCAAATCGCGAACTACAATTAATCGATTCGTGCTTCGACCGTGGGTGGGAAACGGATCGGAATAAAAAGAGATCAGTCCTCTTCCCGAAAGTGACAGAGTATTTTTCTACTTTCCGGGACTCTGCAATAATTCCAGAAATTCTCGGTTTTAATGTCGCGGAATTGTCGCCTAAATGGCACTGTGTCAGGAAAGCGAGAGTGGACGCCTTTTCGCGCACACTATCAGGCTGGCACAGTCGATTTAATCACAGCGTCCCGAAGGGCCATCTTCCAGGAAATGTCAGCTTCTGACATTTGACGTAGGGCCGAAAAATGTCGACGCGTTCCTTAATTAATGGCGAGCAACGTCGGGGAATAAATGTCAGGCATCGTGGAATCGAGAAGAGGGGAATAATCAAGGGTTGGAGATAGCGGAGAACTTTCTCCCCGTTTTAGCGATTCCCTCGATTCGATCGGTTCGATCGGTTCGATTAATTTGCGCGATTCAGGGCACCACGGGAGAGACTTTTTCCAGGAGAAACGTCACGCTCCGGGAAAGAAACGAAGTAATCCCTCGACTCTCCTCGACGTTCTCCCCGGGATTTGGATCGCCCTTTATCTGTCCATAATGGCTCTCCAGACGGCGGAGGTGCAATTAAAAGTTCGGCCCTGTACTAACTAAACCAGTCGTTCCTTGATTTAAACGCGTCGGATTGGCCCCTCCTCGATTCCCCCAGCTTTGCTCGGGTCCATACGTGACGGCACGGAAGGGCGACCGGAAGTGCACCTGTCCGAAGGGTATTACCTTCCTTAAAAGTGACGAATTTCTCAGTCCGTAAACGATCGTTTACCTCGGCGGTTTAGCCAAACCAGACCTTTAGGACGAGTTACGAGGTATCGGTACGAACAAAGCCCTGGATGGACGCGATCGATCTCGAAGAAAATGAGTCCTGGTTCCGGGAACAATAGCCAGGGTGGCCGAGAAGAGGATACAGATGTCGCAGGGAGCGAAAACGCGAGTCCAGCCTAGCGAGAAATCACTGCGAATAACGTTCGGGGATTACTTAGTTACCGCAATAGACTGACGGTAACCGGGTTCGGGACGCGACCGGAGTCCATAGGTTGGTGTAGGTGGAGTAGGTGGCGTAGGTGGCGTAGGTGGGGCACGCAGGGTACACGGGGGTCGCCGACACAAAATAAATCCCACCCCCGACCTACTCAACGCGCTCACCGACGAGGGGAATTGAAGGGCTGTCTGGCAATCCTGACGGCTTATCCCGGCCTCTTCGGGACGAGTCCCGGACCCTTTTCACCTAACCCGGGACGAGTCCCACACGAGGGTACGCCAGCTCGACGATGGGCAACGATTAAGGCCTTTGAGAGAAACTCCGACCCGGGGATATGCGAGCTCTCGACCGGTTACACTTTTCGAGGGTAATCCTCGAATAATTCTCTCGATGCGAAGTCTCGTCCCGGCCGTCCGAGTTCTCTTAATCACTGATTCTAATCGCTATTTAAAGAGTAGACTAGAAAAAACCCTGCAAATATATTCGATTCATTTTTTTTTTTCTTTTAATCGAGGTCTTCATCCGCGTTTTTATGTCTACCGGTCGACTCAAAAAATCGTCGCGTTTATATTCGGCTAATTTATTTCATGAAACTGGGAGGAACGGTTTTTGGGTTTTTTTAAGGGACGTAAGTGAAAACGAACGGAGTCGACGCGCGATTCGTTGCGGTCGTTTATTTAATTACGTTATGCGCCACGTGGACGAGAACGCGGACGTGCAGACGTTTACACGTCGGCGTAAACGGGCAACCGGCGTATTTACTGACACAATAATTATCCCGATTGATGAGGGCAGCCACACGAGCAGTCAAACCGCAGAGCAAATTCTAGGGAGGTCGAGTACCACCTGACAGGGACTCTCAACTACGCTACGCTTTCCAAAAATTCGGAAAAACGAGCTCGAAATTTTTAGGCCCTTCTTTTTTAATTACCCCAATGAAGAAAATTTTATTTTTTAAGCTTAATTAGGTGGAGGAACGTTTTAAGAAATAGGCGACATTCATCGTCGAAAGCGTTATCAGGGTTTCGAGAAATCGATAAGGCGAGTGACGTTCGGAGGGATCGATCGATTTCTCCCCGACTTTTAATCACTTAATAGTGAACAAGGGACACCGGATCTCCTTTCCCATCGTTCCGCGCCTTTTCATCGGCTTAATAACGGGGTGTATGTTTATGTTGTAACTAAAGGCGACTCGCCCTGCAAGAAAATGGCCTCCCCGGGTCAACTCGCTCGAACGACCATCAACGGTGATTAAAAAAAAAAAAATGAGAATTATTTCCTGGACTCGTTTCGACGATCGATTTTCGATGTCGATACTCCCCTACATTCGGCGAGTCATCTTTGATCGCGACGCTCTTGCTGGCGAGTGTTTTTTCTTCTTTCTTCTCTAAGGGGTCCTCGAGGGCAGAGGTGCAGCATATTTGTAGCGGGTTACTCGTGGCGAGTGTCAAGTTGTTTGCCGAATAATCGGCGGACAATGTCGCCGAGGGGCGGGATGAAAAGTCCGTTTTCATCGGGCGACAATGGCCACGTGGCTGCCGAACGGCGTCGTCGAGAACGCCGACCCTTAAGGCCTCCTCGTGAGTAAATCGTTCCCGGTTCCATGAGAATTAAACTTACACTTTCCGATCCTTGCTGAACTTTGTTGGCCAGTTTTTTGGGATTCTTAGAAAAAATTGCGCCTACATTTTCTGGCGATCTAGTTTAACGAGGACGCGATTAAAGTGCCCCTTGAATATCGGATTTCCGACGCGAGTCTCGACTCACCGTCTCCCTGGGGGGGCTCCAGCACTGGGGGGAATCGCCTCCGGGTCGGTCCTCGCGGGTGCCCCTGGCGACCTCCGGGGGAGGCCTGGGCGTCGGCGTCGCGACGTCGTCCTCGGTCGTCTCTATGTCGACCTCGTCGTCCGAGTCGTCTTCGTCCTCGTCCTCGTCTCCGTCCTTGCCGGGGGCGGAGGCCCTGGAGGGGGCTTCCGGTCCAGAATTCTCCAGAATCGGCGAAGACCTGATAACCGGCCGGAAGGCCGACTGATGAAGCGGGACGTTTACCGCAGCGGCCGCCGCGGGCAGCAACGTCTCCGGGGCAGTCGCCCCCGGCGCTATCGGCGGGGGCAGGGGTCCTGAAGAATTCAGCCATTTCAAAAAATCAAGCCAAATTAAGTTAACAAATAAATCATGAAAATTATGGCCCATGTATTTCACTTGCCGTCAAAAAATTCGATACGGTACTTGTTACAATGAACCGTTTTATTTTTCAGTCCCCGAAGGTAGCGTAATTCCTTGACTTACCTGGAAACAGAACGGGCCCCCTCTTGGCCAGCCAAGGAAGCGCGTACGAAGGAAACGGGAAGGCGGGATCCTTGGAGGCGGCCACGACGACAGCCTGTTGGTGCTGGTGCCAAAAATAATCGGCGACGATGTTGGTCGAGAGCGGCAGGGGGAGCTCAGGAAATGGGGGCACCCGGGGATGCGGCGGCGTCGCCAGGGGAGGCGGCAAGGGGGCGGAAGCGGGGGCCGTGGGGGAGAGGCGCGTCCTCTTGGCGGGGCCGGCGCCGCCGACCCCGGGGTTCGACAGCAGCCTCTTCCGCGTCCCCCCGTTGAACATCGCCTTAACGTCCTCCCATGCGTGCACCACTTTGTCCGGCGGGTTCCCCGACAACTTCATGTGCCGACGCCAGGAATTGAAGTTCGCCGCGTCGGGCTGCACGTATTTGTCCGAGAGGCCAGTCCTGTGCGAGTGGAAGATGAACTTGTTCGGCGAGAAGAACAAGCCGCAGTAGGCGCACTTTATGCACTTGGCGCGCGAGCTGTTGTACCGCGCCGGAAGGAACGCACCTCTGCATCCCCAGGAACACTCGTGGTGCACGGAAAAGGCGAAGTCCTCGGGGAGTCTGTAATTTTTATGGACATTTTTCTCTATCCTTAGTTTTGTAAAGAGCCCTTGTACTTTGATAAAATAAAGAATTAAATTAAACCGCTCAGATTGTAATCCCAGTTTATTTGTCTGCGTGCGACGATCGAATCGTCAATTTTCGGCATCGCGTCTAACCTGGGTGGAGCATTGTCTCCCAGGAAGGACTTGCAGAGTCGTTCGGCTTCCCTTCTCGTGATCATCCCGCACCGTCTCGAGGACACCGGCATTGCCCCTGCTCTTCTCAGAATTTCCAGCTGCACCGGGGTGCACTGCACGCAGGTGATGCCCAGGGCAACCCTCCGGTTGTGGATCTCGTTGTAACTGAATTGCTTGAGTAGAGTGTTGCTGATCTGGGCCAGACAGAGCCTCTCCTGGTCCTCGATCACCAGCGACACTATGTGGATCCCGTAGAGAGAAACCGTGCCCACCTGCAACTCCTAAAAGCTTAGATGCACCACGCGCCTCTCGGAAGCGTTCCCCCCTTAAATCTTAAAACGCCGCTCTCTCGACGAAACGGAGGCTGCGATACCCCCGAGAATTTTAACGGCAAGAAATTCCCGATTTAAAGCAATTTTTAAAAATTGATATTCGGCATTTTCTTCTCTTTAACTTCCATGCATTTTTTTCGGGAAAAGTGAGGCCTCCGTTGGACAAATGATTTCTTTGTCAATTCGTTTATAATTTGCGAGGACTTTTTGGAAAAGTTGCGATACCTGGTTCGGTTTAGAGTGAGCTTGCGGTTGCGGAGACGGCGTCGACTTTTGTGACGCGAGTGGAGGCAGCGAAAGCACCGCTGGACCGTCCATTCCGTTCTGGAAAAGCATATTGATATCGATAAAGGCTCGATGATATCTATAAGTGTTGGTTAAACTCTGATATCATCTAGAAATATCGCTTAAGGTTTAATATCATCCGCAAATTAAGGCGCGACCGGAAACGCCAAAACTAGTTCGCCGATCGAAAATGTGATTAAATCCTCCAAGAGCGTCTTAATTATCTACCTATTGGGCGGCGATTAAGCAAGTCCCGAGGGACTCCTAAAGGCGAAATTAAACTTTCCGATCAAAGCGTCCCCCCAGGGGGAGGCGCAATTAGATCGCTTTCTTTTCGCAGTTTTAACGTCCACCTACGAAACATTGCACCTTGCTCAAGAGAAACGTCCCTTCGTTCACCTGATTCAAATTCCAACTGATCGTTTTCCACCTTATTCTTATAGATGAGGGAAAAATATTTGAATATGTAGAAACGTTACGACCAGTGTTGAACATTTGGACGTTACGTTTCCGAGAACGCCGGCGATTGGCTCTCCCACTCCTCTGGAATGCGGGCTGCGGGCCCAATGCGAGAGTATAGGGGCCTAGTTCGTCTCGGACCGTCTTAGAGGTCAAGCGTCGACGGCTCGGTCGCCGCTCGTCGGCGTGGCGTCGTGGAATTTCGATCTCGGGATTAAGAATTTGCGTCGAAAGTAAAAAGCGCGATTAATCGAGTCTCGTCGCGAGTGAAAAATTCATCAAGGCTCGTCGCAAATGGATAGTTCGAGTCTCGTCGCAGCCCGACACCCGATTCAGCCGCTTGGGAGCAACAAAGGATTTACTGCTGTAAACAAAGTGAGTCGACCATCCATTTGAAAAGGAACTCATAAAATTGCTCCGACCGCCCGAATTTTAATCGAACATCGCTAGGTTTATTTTGAACTCGTTGGAAATAATTTGTTCACCTCCTTCTTAGCTATTCCTCCGCTTTACAAATTCGCGGTAATTAATACTTTAATTCGAACCGTCCTACCTCGAGACGTTACATCATGAGAATTCGTAGAAATTCTTAAGCACCATCTCGACCTCCGCAGTTTTAATTACAAATCCGTTGCAATAAATGTCTAATTTCGAATTAGCCCTCGTCATCCTCCGCCGAGGACGAGAACGTATTGAAAAAAAAATATTCCACGAGTTCATAAAAATTCCTAAGCACTCTGTCGACCGTCCAAGAGGAGATGCCCATTTCCGGGGGCACACCTCTTCCTTCCGGCATAGGCGTATTCCTCCATTAGTTTAACGCGCCTCGGAGGCTCCGTTAAAGCGGTGAATTTTCCTGGGCGTATCCAGGTGGGGCGAGGGAGGGAAAGAGGACGGTCGGAGCGGGGAGGGAGCAAGAGAGCGAGAGATTCCCGGTGTTGATTTTAATTGAAAACGCCCGCGTGAAGGTGAGCGGCCCGTCGGTGTGGGTGGCGGCGGTACCAACACGCAGGTGACCTGACGCGCCGCCGCTCCAGCAAATGTCCCTGGGGGGTCGGCAAGGGGGGTAATTCAATTTGACACCCCCTCCCACGCTTAAACAAGGCAGCACCCATCGGATCCACCCACGGCCGCCCCGGCTCGTGCAAATTAAATTCTCATCCACCGTGAAACAATGCCCTGCCCGGTTCCGACTCGCCGAGACCTGCTGGGACTTGCCCCGGAATCTGTCGGACCATCCAAGGGGTTTGCCGCTCACCGACCGACCGCATTAATTACTAGATCGCTTACGACTTGCGTTCGCGTTCCGCTGACCATAGTCTTCTAGGTTATCCCGGACAATTCCTGGACAAGTCGATCGTCGACGATACGCGGGATAATTGTAATAAGATAGTAATAACAAAATAATTTTGACGCTTCCTTTAAATTCCCTGCGTCGTGAAATGCGGACAAAACTGTCCAATTATTTTTACCCTGTCAGGAATTCTCTCGGATGACCGTAAAGGTACGACCTCGATGTTTCATAAGTCTTAGATTTAATTTTCCGGTAAAAAATCGTGCAGTGCCTTGTCGCGGAACTCTCGAGGATGCGCCAGAGGTTCGCATCGATTGGCCCTCTCTCGAGCCAATCCGCGAGCGATTCGCGAAACGCGGCCGGAGGGGGGCCTCGTATATATAGATAGAGTCGCGGAATAAGCGTAGCCGGGCTCGCAGATTATTTAAATGCAAACACAATGTTGTAGCGGAGAGCATTGTTCCCCTCTCGGTTATTTTACAATTCAATCTGCGCGCTCCTCGCTTCCTCGTTTCTCTCGTTCCTGGGTCGGGGAGGGGGGGGGGGGACTGCCGCCGGGGGTGAGGAGAGAGAGAGCGTTCGTTCGCTCGTTCATTGTAACGTTGTTAAATCTCCGTACCCCCTTGCATACATTCCGCGCTTCTTCGTCCCCCTTAAGCCCCCCTCCAAGAGAACGCTACCCGCCCCTCGGTAATCGTACGCGTCTCTCGAAACGCTGAATGATTTATCGCGATCCCTGCTCCCAGGACCTCGGAGAGACTCTTTTCGAAAGGACGTAACCTCGAAATATGGTTGAGAAATTGGCATACATTTTTGGACCCTCCTTTTCCTTGTTTAAGAAATTTTCTCTCCGACCGAAGGGCAACTTTCCCGATAGATTTTCCTCGTTATCGCGGCAATTGCACCTGTATCGCGGGTAATGGTAGGAGGATGCCTCGTATAAAAGCAAGAAGTATGTGCCGAATTAGGAAATAAATTTGCGACAACGGCTGGAAAATATCGTCGCCACGGGAGAAAATTGGGCGACGTGTATGGGCTACCGGCTCTCGAGGGAAGTGAAATTTCGCGTCCAGATCGTGAATACATTTTTCTGCGGGGACAAACGGGAGGATGCATATTTTATTATCCGGAGTGGCAGGACCGATCCCAAACAACGATTCGCCGCCTGAGGCTATCGGAATCCCTCAAGGGGATTAAAAGATTAAATGCAGGTGGTTTCAGGAGTTATCCGAGTAATAATGTTAATGATTAAATTGCATCGCAGAATACGCGCTCGTTGTTAGCCCCGGGCTATAGGAATTCTTTTTTCATTCGGAAATCCGAGCACAAGGAAATCTCTTATACGAGATGCGCTTAGCCCTTAATATTTATGGCGGAGGAACACATCCCAGAAAAAAGACCGTCAATTATATTAATGGAACGTGTTTTAATATCGTTTTTCGGTTTTTCCTCCCGTGAAATAAATCCGGGAAATTAAATTTCCAGCCATTGTCGAGCCGGGGAAATTAAACGGGCTTCGGGCTCGATTTTCAGGGAATTAATAGGAAATGGTCGATGGATTGCTCGGACTGAGTTCTCCTTTCTCGATAGTCGGTCGATCGTCGAGAGCCCCGAATGCAGCGACGCGGAAAACTTGTTAAAACTTCTAGAATTGCTTTTATACGGATCCGAGAGAGTTGGACGTCACCTGTGGCTCCGAATTCTCGATAAATGGCTCGAATTGTCGGTTTTGAGCAAAGAAAGCCTAATAACTTCCTTTGGATAGGAATTAATACCACCTCGGTACTGTCACGTTAGGTATGTCGTTCATTTCGTATTTAACGATTTTTCGATCCAATTTAAAATTGGAATTCATACTTTTCGAAGGAACACCTCCTTGTGATTTTTTTGTGCTTGTCAACGAGAACAAAAAATGTATAACGTCGCGCGATGGGGTGGAAAATTAGGAAGCGTTAAGTCGTTTGGAAAATTGTCTTGCCCCTGTTTCGGGCCGTGTACTTTTTCATGCACAAACAGTTTAGGATGTTTATTTGACACCGGGGCGCGGATCGGCAACCCCGTAGAGACGAAACCCCCTAAAACCCCATGAGACCAGTTTGCTCGACCTCGCGAATCGAGTATCAATTTATTTAGTCTCGATCAGGTTTCAGGGGGACCCTCCCGGGGGTGATTTTTTTTTTTCTCCAAAGGGCACACTTGCATGCGGCAAATTGCATCGCGGAATTTAATGCGGACAAAAAATTTTTTTTTTTTCGAAAAGGACATTTTCTGAGTCCCTTCGTTAGGACCTCCGTAATCACGTGTCAATGTTCGAAATTATTTGGTGCACTTGGTTTAAAGAAAAGTTTCATAAATATTTTGACGTTTCACGTACATAGAATGATTCTTTCGAGTGACACCTTAAATAACGAATGAATAAATTCAAGGAAGATATTCATTTTTTACCGAGTAAAATATTTACTTCGTGGGGTAGAAAAAAAAATCACCCCATCTCAGCCGAGAAATCTCCGCCCCGAAACATCGTAATTTAACTTAAACAATTAACGGTTCAAGTCAAATTTAGAAAGATTTTTATTACAAGCCATACCTCTACGTGGCGGGATCTCCAGGTCGACGCGCCGCACCCCCGGTACCCCAAGTCCCTTGAAACGAGCGAGTCGATAAGAATCGGTAATAATCGATATTAATTTATAAGAATCGTGGAAAACGAGGACTCGTCTCAAAAGTTGGGAAAATCCGGCGCGACGGCCGGGGAGTGCCGGGGGTGTTATCCGAAACGAACGGGCGTCCACGCGCGGAACATCTGAGCAAGACCTCGGTGCTCGCGAGAGCAAGACCCTTCCCTGCGCTGCACTTGGCACAGACCCCGCCCTCTGGTCGTCCCTCTCGCGGCGCCGGGCAATGACGAGCCGCGAAGCGTGCGCGGCGGGCGGGGCCACCGCTCGAGCGCCGCTGGGCAGCGGCCCACCTCAGGGGTAACTACGTCCACGTACTTACCGAACGTTATTATCGTCCCGCGATGCGTGGGCGAACCAACTGCGCGGATACTTACTTTTCCGTGCACCCACGCACGCCTCTCGTCCGATTACCTCGGAACTCGGTAATTAGCGGTAATAAGATTCTAGGTGCTCGATCGCGAAAGATTCGATCGTGACCCGAAGTTAAAGTGTCAGGAAAGGGTCCCTTCTATACGTATGAAAACGTCAAAATATTTATAATGCTTTTCTCCAATCGGGGTGCGCCGAATAATCTAAATCTTTAATACGTGATCGTGGGGGTCTTAACGTAGTTCTCGACATTCGCGAAATTTCATTTTTCGAAAAAAAAAAAAAATGTCTTTCGGTCTTCGTTCGGGATAAGTACAAGACTTTGTTTGAAAAATAAAATTTCGGGAATTTCAAAAGCTTCATCGGCACCTCCGTCTTCTGTCAAATAAAGTCGATAGGATTTTCGTTCGTTCCTTGACGTGGAAGTGGGAAAAATAAATAAATAGGGGGCGTGGGGGTCCCGCGCCCCCCGGGGAGGCTCGTTTAACGAACCGCAAAAGAGGCCGGTGCCGTTTTCAGCGGACCCCGACCAGTGGCCCATTATGATTCCCACCGCCCCTCCGGGCAATAAATATCGTCACGGGCCCCTGCCAATTATTCTCGGCCTCTTCTCGAATGAAAGAGAGACGAGTCGCGCGATGGCGCGAACATACGGCGACCGACCCGAGGAGATCGACATCGCGGACCCTCTAGTTAGCGCGGAGTCCGTGACTAACACCTCGAGCACCCCTCTCGATGTCCATCGCCATCCGTGCCCAACTCTTTCGTTATCACCCCCCAAAATCGCGTATCCGCGTTCCGTAAATATTTTAATCGACAAAGCCGGGGAAATGCAATGTTTTGTTTAAACATTCCTGCATTTCTAGAATCGCCCTCGTGTTGGTTCCATCTCTTGTCCGGTGAATGGTATTTTGTTAATTTCACGGGGTTTTTTTTTTTCCGGGACCAATTAATTTATTTGGAGCAACTAACGGGGGTTTTCGGATTACTCGTCGAGCGTAGTTCGAAAGTCAAAGGTTACCGTAGAAGGCACGGAGCGTCGCCATTTGTCGCGAGGCGACGATGCGCATAAAATTGCGCGAGGGGGTCGTAATCGATGTGTGTCGAGGGTACACATCGAGGGTTTACCCGGGTATACTTATTGAGGCGCGTCCACGTGGAGATACACGCGTACGGACTGCGGTGTCGACATACTGCGCAGTCAATTAGTTTAATAGGCCGACAGTTGTCGTTCGCCGACTCTCGAATCGAAGGGTGCCCCGACGATGTCGATCCCCGGGCCGGTTTTGCCTTCCTTCTCGTTGCAACGAATTATTGTTACGAATTGATCGAAACGAAGAAGCTGACAATTAGTAGGAAAACGAATTATCAGAAATAGACGACTTCCCTTTCTTCTTTAATTTTCCCCGGTTGCAGATTTTCGGTCGCTAATAATCGAGCGCGGCGATAATCGGGCGAGAATTTAATCGGA